GAGGTATTGAAGAAATTTACGAAAAATCTATCAGGCTAGCAAACCTCAACGTGCTGTCCAGCAACTTGCATCCTGCACACATCAAAACTACGCCACCCAGAAGATGCATATTTATTAATCTTGCCAGGCAGAATGAATGGAATGGCGTGTTTAACCACATTTCATCCGTTTTAACCTTGGAAACCACGTCCATGTTTGATGTTACGTGTTCTTTGAAACTGATGTAGAATTACTGATCGAATGTGTTCGTCTCGGCCGGCAAATAATCCGAACATCGAAACGTTTGCTTTGTGGCCTGTGTTACGGTTGGTAGACTTTAATTTGCGATGCCAGGAAGTCACGCAAAGTTGTGCCTTTGTGCTAATTACCAGATGCAAACTTTTATTCCGCAAATGTGCAGATGGTACTCCTGAAACATCGCATTGCATTGTTATTATCGATAAGATACTAATTTCTGCGTTGAGATTTGAGGTTCTCACAGCAGTGAAGTTGTCAGTCTTTATCTTCTGGGTTCAAACGCCACGTTCACTTGTACGTAGATAACATTGATTTTTTATGAACATGCTGCCTCCATCTTCAGGAATACTTCCACTCAATTGTGGCTCATTGAATTACTTATGTCAGTGTTAAAAGGTGAGTGGGTTGGAGTCCAAAGTAAAACTTGGTCGTGCTGTGGCTTAAATTCTGAAGTTACTGGCTTTGAATCTGGGCGTGGACCTTGCGTTTCGTACAGGCGAAAAATGTCCAGAAACATTCTACCATGAGGAAGGTAGCAAGTACATCATGGGGCTTGCTGTGTGTCTCTGTTTCTGGCTGCGTTTAGAGGTCACCGTCCTGCCAGCAAGCCGCTAAGTGGATTAGCTCCTTGAATCGGCTTTGATTGAACGCATTCAGTTACTAGGCCGAGTGACATTCCGACAGTTGTCCAGTGTGCAGCGTAGAGCTCTGTACGAGCCGAAACTTTAGAATTTGAACCGGCCCGAGCCCCGAATCTCGACTGCCCCGAATCTCGACTGCCCCGACTGTCGTATCATAAAAAAAATTTTCCTTCGTGTATAAATGCCAGTAATCCTTGAACGAATCATTTAACGACGATCCTCAACATCTGATGTTATTTTATCGCCTGACGAAGGTTAGAAAATGTCGAATGCTAAGTAAAGTAAGGCGAGAAAATCAAGTCGGTGGCATTTTTCGAAGTTAATTAGGACCGGAACCAGCCATGAGCATTGTGAAACCGGAAGTTAATAAGACTGAAGTGTTCAGAAAATCACTAAACAAAACAGTAAGGTAATATATGTCTCGTATTGTTCCCTGGAATAGGCCACGATCTCATGTCTTCAACTCGCCGTTCAGAATATCCTCTCATTTCATCTGGTGCTACAAAAACCTACATCATCTAACCACAAGCACTGCAGTACTGATGTAGTTGGTGTAACGTCGTGGTATAAGCAACCGCATTTCTTGGTGTCTGGGTCCTCCGAGAAGAATCCGTTCATCGGAAGGATGCAGGCCAATTATCTCCGCAGGATTTGAACCCATAACCCTGTACTAGAATCGCCTAAGATGATCGACCACTTCAACGTCACGCGACCAATCTCTTGTTTTCGTGGTCGTAAGCGACGTTTCTGGCCGCCTTGTCCGCTACATAACCTAACGCGTAATTAATTAAGTCTACTTAATTCTCCCACAGACTGCGCGTCAGTCGACTGCCTCGTAATTGAGACATTTCTCGCCGCGTTAACTCCAGGTCGGACTTTTTCCTCCTTTCATTGACGAAGTGTCTCAGAGAAATGGAATCACTAGACTCACCGATGACCTCAGCGAAGTTTCTTGTCAGTCATTTTAATTTCAGGTGTCGATGTCCTAAGCTTTACTGGGGCAAAGCGAACTCAAAGGCCCTTTCTTCGCCAAGTAATTTAGGTTCATTCGCGACTAAAAGCTGCTTCTTTGTGCTCGTCTTAACGTCCGAAGTACGAATTTCCTTTGTTCTTTGGCGCCAAAATTTACCGACGCATTTGAGGTTTTTGGTCGAAACTCGACAACAAAAACGAAAACTCTACATCGCGTTTCTGGAAGCGACGACTGTGACGCCGCGTGGACTTGGAGGTGGAAACCGACGTTTCAGAGGTGTATACTACCTCCATCTTCGGGGCTAATTGAGCGTTGGTATCCAGGTCAACCTACCATTCGGCGTTGCACCCCAGAAGAACAACGTCGGCATATTTGCGCTAGTAAGCATGAACATACGTTTTAGGTTAGGTTAGGTTACGTTACGTTACGTTACGTTAGATTAGGTTAGGTTGGGTTAGGTTAGGTTAGGTTAGGTTAGGTTA